GCCCCAGTTAGGTTTTCAGCATCTGAGTGTAGCTGGCACATTCCCAGCCTTCCTTCCAGCAAGAAGCGGTCCCCCAGCTCTGTGAGGATCCCACACAGGGCACTTTGTCCTCCTGTCTCCTCTTACCTCTTTTCCTCTTCTTCCCCATTGGGCATCTCATAGCCTGACGACCTACCTGAGAGAACGAGAGGTCAGCACACTGGGGGAAGGTAATAAAATTAGAAGAGAGAAAATGACTCTCTAGAGGACAGGATGGAAGAAGTAGGGATTGTAGCTGTGGGGACTCTGCGTGTGCCACATGAGTGGGCATTTGGCCCTTGGTGCTGCAGTAGTCTCTGAAATGTGTGCATAATAGCACTCACTTTTAGCTTATGTAGGAAAAATAATTATTTTTGGCCAGGACTTGTGAAGTGCCAGAGGACAAATGACATTTGTATTTCAGTAGGCATCAGGGCCTTTCAGGTGAGGAACCCAGCCCAGGTAAGGCCTGTGGGTTGAGACAGCTCATGTTGGGGTGAGGCATCTCATTTCAGATGGTTTGTAAAGAAGCTTTTTTTTTTTGGTTTTGGTTTTTTTCCGGTACCGGGGATCAAACTCACGACCTTGCGCTTGCCAGGCAGGCGCTGTGCTGCTGAGCTAAATCCCCAGCCCCAAGAAGCTTCTGTTAAAACCAAAGAAACCATTTAATGAAGGTGGAAGTTAGCACCAGCCTTCACTTTCAACCTGGAATTCTAGTCTGTGAAAAACTCTGGTGCTTTTCAGAAAAGGTTTCTGAACAGAATACCAGAGGTTCACCTGAAATGTGGCTTTTTCAAGTTAAAAGACTATTAGCTGTAAGTGCTCAGGCAGTCTTTGGTCCTACAGAAGAAATCTCAGGAACGCAGGTCCCTTTCTTACCTTAACACCAGTTTCACATAGCTACATTAAAGAAACTACAAGATAATTTGGTCTTCAGGGGTCCCTTTTGGCCATTCACCTGGAAAAAGTAGTCAATTCAATGCAAGATTAAGCAGTCTTTATGAAGTATTAATAGAGAATTAGTGAATAATATTTCAAAATTTTTAAAGAAGAAATGAATCCAAAGATTTGTATATTTTGCTGGAATATTAGTGTTACTATAAAACAGGGTGACTGAGGTGTGTGAGAGGAAGCCTGTGGTTCATACTGATTGCAGTGCTGTTCTCAACAGTTTTACAAAACAAAACCCCAGGCTCTTGATTTCAAATTTCTATAATAGTCACAGCATCTGTGTTTTTGCCAGGCCAGCTCCTGTCTGTGGGTCGCACTCTGGTTCAGAGCCTGGGGTTGTTAAGAAGATTACAAAGCATGCCTCTTCCTCGCCAGCTACCACACGATCATAGTGACAGTCATGATAATTCACTGGAATCTGGTTTTTACGTTTTACTTGGTTTGTTTATTTGTTTAAAGAAATAAAAAATAAAACCTTGAGAAGAAACAAAGTAGTAGTATCTAAAGGAAAAAAAGATTCCTTAATGATAGCTGAACAGTTCTCTGATTTGTTGACTGGAAGTGAGGGGCTGGAAGTGCTGGAAGTGAGGGGCTGAGCCAGTGGGGGCTCTGGGTTAGGCGGGGTTTCTCAGCCTTGGTACTGTGGAGATGTTGGGCTGGATAATTCCTCACTGTGCTGGGCACTGCCCTCTGCATGGCAGCCTCCCTGTCTTTACCAGTTGCCAGCCGTGCCAGTAGCACGCCCCTCCCCTGAGTTGTGACAATTCAGAATGTCTGCAGACACACAAAGTGGTGTGCCCGCTCACACATTTTGAACTACTGGTTTAGGTAAAACAACCAATTTCAAAGATTTCGTTGCTTGCTCATTTTGTCTAAGCCAAATGTGGCAGGGTTGGGATGTTTTAAGTTAGAAGGGGCCAGGAGTTGGTTTGGAGTTTAAAATCACACTTTGTCACTCTTCTCTTGCTTTTTGGTGAGTTGCAGTTCCTTTTTAAGTTCCTGTGTGTGGGAAACACTTGAGACTACTCTTCTCCCTTACCTGTGGGCTGTCACGGGAATGCTCATTTGTGGACTATTACTGGGGTTGGATGTACCTCAGTGAGTTCATATTTGAATAACCTCGAGTGAAGCCTGACCTTCTGTATCTTTTTTATCTTTTGCTGGAAGTCATCTGTAGCTCAGTGTTCCTGAGTATTCATTGGGGAAATTGGATATTAAGCACAAGTAACTCAATTCCGACTTCCAAATAAATCTTGTTATTTGGTGCTTTCTAAAAACAGAAAAAGAATGAAGGTGGGACCTGAACATACACATGCATTTGAAATTGTGTTTATTTTCCAATAAGCGTTTGTTAAGAGAGCACTATCATTTATCGGAATAATTTAGGAATTGGCAGCAGGTGACCAGTCTTCTTTGTTACACTTGACCTTTTGTATTCTTGAGTTAATAGAGCAGATGTTGGGATCTCGTAATTCTGAAGTGTGTGGAGATATGTCATTGGCTTCAGCGTACTGGTTCCCAATTGTGGCAACACTAGAATTACCTGAGTGTTCCGCAAAGACCCACAACACTGGACCCGTCTCCCAACCAGCTGAGTCAGATTTGCTAGAGATGGAGCCCAAGCCTGAGTGCTTGGGTACCCCTTCCCTTATTGCAGTAGAAGTCAGAAGTTGAACCAGTGTACATTTGCATAAAGTTTTATTGGGATACAGCCATGACCATTCCTTTGCCAATTGCCAAGAGATCTATGGCTTGCAAAGCCTAAAATATTTATTCTTTGACCATCTGTAGAGAAAAATCTGCTGACCTTGCTGTGGAGTCACAGCAAACGTTTGTCAAATGTTCTGAAAAGATTTGTATATACTTTCTTAGTAAAATAAAAAAAAGTCAGTGTTTTGCAGAGCCTATAGGCTCAAGCCTTGTTTGTTTTCTTGTACACAGGGAAAACTGAAAAGCATTTTCCTTGAAGAACTGACTTGCGGATCTTGCCACACCTGAGGGAGAATAGCTCAGCACCCAGAGTAGGGCGGCACTATTGTTTGTATTAGGGTGCTTTGCACTTAACAGCCTGCCCCTCGCTATTGATCCAGGGCTCATTCCTCAGACTGCGTAACTGACTTGAGGCATTGTGGGCATTCTCAAGATAGAATTGTCTCTTATATTCAAAGTGAGCTTGAGTTTGTTATGGCCACTGCAGCACTAACACATGGCAGCAGGCCCTGAAAAAATTTTTTTTGGTCTTTTTGAAACAGGGTCTCCCTCTGCAGTTCAGGCTGGCCGTGAGCTCACTTTGTAACCCAGGCTGGCCTTGAACTCATAATGATCCTCCTGCGTGCTGGGATTACAGGTGTGCACCACTATGTCTGGCTTCTGAAAAGAATTTTGAGCTTTGGTGAATTTTACAGATGAAAAAAGAAACGAAAATGGAATTTTGCTGTTTATATAGCTTCCACCCTTGCCACTCATTGGAAACTGAAAGTTGTAATGCTAAAAAGAGTTTTTTTAAGCTGGTCCTCCTTTGGTCATGGGCTCTTAAGTGTGAGAGAAAGGATAATTATTTCACCTTCTTGTCACCAGAGCAAGGTCTGGGAACCAACAGGACTAGCCTCTCCGGGGAGCTTGTCAGATTCTCAGGCTCACTGCATCGGAATCTGCATGTGGCAGATCCCCGGGCCATTTGTGTGCCCATTAAGGGACACTGGGAAGTGCTAGTTTAATTGATAACTGGGTGCTGTTTCCTCCATGTGGTAACCAGCTACTATTGATTGCTCTCCCTGTTAATAATTTCATGGCTCCATAATGGACCTCCAAACCTGAGGTCTCTCAAGAGGGTGGATGCTGTTTCTTTCCCTCTGGCTATTTTCCAAGTACAGCTTGTTTGACCTCTTGTTTAGTAACGATTTATATGGTCGTAGAAAATGAGAACAGAGTGATTCACCAAGGAGAGATGTCGTTGTATATATTTTGAAAAAAAGTAGAAAAGATAAAGAGAACTTGCCCAGGAAAACCTCACTTGAAAGGAAATTATGACGTGCAATAGAATTGTCTGGTTCCAGATGGGGCGAGAATGCAGCCCTCAGAGCACTGGGAGGATCAAAAACAAATCCTCTAAGCATCTCAGTGTCACGGAAATCAGATTTCTTTTCCACCAATCAGTGCCGTGGTATTCAAAGTGCACTTGGGCTAGGGTTACTTAGGCAATTGTCCCCTCATATAAAATATTAAGGAAGTTTGGCACCTAATTTTACGTGCCCTGTTCTGGTTAGTATAATTAGTACAGTCTTCTTTCTTTATCAGATGCTTCTGTCAAGCTCATACTACTTTCTTGATCAAGTAGCATTCTAAACATTTGATTGGAAAACATGATTTTGTAATCACTTCTTAGTTCTGATCATAATTGATTTAGTTTGGAAATTCCCTTGGAAGGACCTTTCTAGAAGTGGTAAAGTGCTTGCCTAGGCTAGAGTGCTTGCCTTGCACAAGGCTCTGGGTTCTATCCCCAGTACTGCGAATAACAAGTGAAATCCATCCAAATTTAACCATTAAAAGTTGGTATAAATAATTGAAGCTCTATTCTTGCTATGAGGATACAATTATGAGTTGAATGCTCACTATCTATACCAGCAGGGTCTATGCAGGAAACAGTTTTAAATGATTGTGGAAGTAGTCCTTGCAAATTCATCAGAAGATCTGGGAAATCCAAAGTGGGTAGCCCCTTCTGAGCCACCAGGTCACATCTCCCAAGCTTTGAATGATAGATCAGGAAGCTGCTTCTTACATAAAAGCTGCCTCCGGTCCCAAAGGCAGGGTCTGGTTTCCAGAGACTGCCCGACCCACATGCCACTCCTGCTCTTTTCAGTACTTGTTAACTGAGCGTCACCCAGCAGGAGGGAATTCAGGGATGCTTTTAAGGGTATTCCAAAATAGAAAAGGCACCATGGATGTGCACCATCGTGGGCGGGGTTTTTTTTGGGGGGGGGATAATAAAAATGCAACTTTGGTCTCAGTGTGTTCCTTTTTTTTTCCTTTAGCAGATGAAAAGCTCGGAGAACCGCCATACAGTGAGTTCCCAGTACAGGATGCATTCTTACTACGGGCCTCCCTCCTACCTGGGCCAGAGCATGTCCCAGATCTTCACTTTCGAGGATGGGCCATCTTACTCGGAACCCAAAGCAAGCGGTAGGTGTCTGTTTACAGACTGCCTTGGGGTGGGAGGGGTTGCCTGTCCCACTCTGGGTCACCAGCCCTACTGCACTGCTTCTCTGTTAGGAACTGTTGGAAAGTCTGTTGTGTATAAAACTTGGATAAGTGTGCTTTACAGTATTCAGCTATAGAAAAGTCGTGTGTGTGTGTGTGTGTGTGTGTGTGTGTGTGTGTGTGTGTTAATGAGGATGCTACACAGGTGCCCTACCACTGAGCTACATCTCCAAATCTTTTTATTTTTATTTTAAGACAGGGATAAATTACCCAGATTGGGCTCTAATTTAGGATCCTCCTGCCTCAACTTCCTGAGTAAATGGATTGTAGGCATACACTATCACATCTGAATTGCTTAATCTTTATAATGATATTTTTCCCTTTATGGACAACTGCTGTGATAATCATAGACTCCCATTCAAAAGCTAAAAATGTGTTTTCTGGAGACACACGTTTTTCCCCCAGGACCAGAGATCAGGTCTTATACATGCTAAGCATTCTACTGCTGAGTTACAACCCTAGTTCCCAGAATATGGTTTGTTTGTTTGGTTGGTTGATTGGTTGGTTGATTTTTGGGGGTTTTGAGACAATGTCTCTCTATGTAGTTCAGACTGTCCCTGAATTCACTATGTAGCACAGCCTGGCCTCAAACTTAGCAATCCTCCTGCTTCAGCCTCCCAAATAATGGGAGTATAGCGAGCTGCAATATCCAGCTCAGAATATGGTTTAAATCCAGATTGTGTGTGTGTGTGTGTGTCTGTGTGTGTGTATGTTGAATTTCTGTGTAGTAAACACTTGTTTTCCAAAGATTTTCATTTAAAAATTGAAGGTATATTCATCTTCTGAGGGAAAGTAAAATAACATAATAAAACATTTTTTAATACAGTAGATCGTGGAGTTTATGCAGTAGCAATGCAAATAACTCTGATATAAAGGCTTTAAAATAAAAAAATGAATGTTTAATGAGCCAAAGAACTTTGAAATACACAGTTTCTCAACTTCAGTTTTAACCGTCTTCGAAGCATTTATGCTGTGATGATAGGCAGATCTTTTATGGCTCTTGTGCTTCCAGATGCTGTTTTTAAGCTCTTCATATTTATGCTGCATCATTTTATTTAGGAAAATGAGAAGCAAGCCCAGTTGAGGCTGTTGTAGAAATCTGGGTAGTGGAGTGAGTGACTTGGAAGAGACAGTGATCTCCCAGAACTGACCATGTGCTACATAAAAGAAGTTTGCTTTCTACATAATGTGACTCTATACAGAACTGATTAGTTTCCATAACCTACATATTCTGCATTAATGGAAGTCATTATCTTAGTATAGTAAAAAAAGCATAACTTGCCCAGTGTTTTGCGATTTTATTGTTCTGAATTTGGAAATCAAGGCGTTGTTGTGAACTCATTCTCTAAAGAGTTTGAGCTTACATGTTGCTGGTTGCACTTCTCCTTTTACTCGTCACTGTCATGAGTGGACAAGCACACCTCTTATAAACATTCTTCCTGTGTGCTGTGTACCTACATGGCGCTTCTTTCATACTGCCTCTCATTCTGTATCTGAGGATTATAAAATCCTTAAAGGTAGAGGACACATGCCATGTACCTTTTATCTGCTATGATGCCCTCCATCTGCTATTCGTTGGTTGAGTGAGTGAATGAAAGCATTTGGTACATTTTTAAGTGAGGTGGCCCTGTAAGGGAAGACAAACACGGAAGGTCAAAAGCCTAACTCGTTGTCTGATGGAACCACTACACAGTTTGCAGATGAAATAGTTAAAGAAATGTTTGTTTATGTGGAAAATCACGAATGAAACTCATTTGCAGGAAGAAATTGAAAAGCTTCTTACTTTAGGGATAATGGAATATTTTTAGAAGCACTGCTGTGCTTGAGACAAAGGTATAAATTTACAGCAAGGCAGTAAGAAAAACTGTAAGAGGCAGTTTATTATAGCTGAGAGGAGAGAATCTGCAGAAGAGCAGTCGGCATTTGAATTTATGGCGGAAAAGAAGTGACTTGGAAGGAGAGGGGTTACAGTCCAGGAGAAAGGCCAGCGGCACTAGTGCTCGTAGGGAAAGATTACTAGAATTTCTTACTTTTCTAGAGATGTGTACGAGTGGCAGTGTGGGTGTGAGGTGGCTGCAGGTTTAAGTTCCTGGTACCCTCGAAGTCACTCACAATTAATCAGGAGCTCAAGCTGCGGAAATGAAGGTTCTAGCCAGGACGAACTGCAATGGAATGTCAGTAATAACTGTGTTTACTTTGGAATTATTGTGGAGAAATAAGTTAATAGAAAACCCAAATTCTAGCTAATGTTTTTGAATGTAGTTTTATGGCTTGTAAATATGTGCTGTCTGGGGCATAGTACATGAAATTTTACAAAGCAAATGGGTAAGCAGGGGGAAACATAGTGGTTGGAGCAAGGAGACCCACAGGTCCTCTTTGGGGACATAGGATCTTTAGTCTTATCATCAGCATTTGGCCAAGTGGGAAGCCTTTTGGGACAAGTTAGCTTTTTTAGTAAGTGAGTAGGACTGAGAGAGAGGCAGAATGTGGCACATGGCGATAGGGACATTAGTATATTGTGAGAAATTGGCAAAGGCTAGCCGACAGATCCCTTTAATGGCACTGTCAAAGTTCAGTTGAGTTCCTTTGGTTGGTTGCTTCAATAAATAACGTATAATTTCTAAGTAATACATCAGTTATTCTAAGTGGGACCTTCTAAATGATTTGACGAGCAGTGTTTTAAATAGGCTTAATATTTTCTTTAAAGTGTTATTTTAATAAATCTATGTTTCTTCAGTTTCTTCAAAGGTAAGTTTTAACATCCAAAGGAATGAGTCCAACTTCATTGTTTTCTTCTGGTTCTGCTGAAGATAGCAAAATGAAAATGGAATGTTGAGGAGCAGAAAATCTGGAGAGAAGTTTTTCTTTTGCTATGCAGTTGCTAGTTGATGTTTTTCTTTAAAAAAAAAAAAAATCAGAGCCATTCCCTCTATTTTCCACACCCTGAAAAGTGTCAGTAGGTGAGCGAGATGGTGGGCTGGGTCTTGTAGGACATGGTAAGCCACTGCGAGAACTGTGGCTTTTATTTCAGGTAAGGTGAAAAGTCATTTGAGGGTGTTGAGAAAAGGGTGATGTGTCTGCCTTGTGGTTTTCAAAGCTCATTCTGATTGCTGTTTAAGTATGGGCTGGAACATGCAGAGGTAGAAACAGGAAGGCGGATTAGAAGGCTCTTGCAGAAATTCCGGCAGAAGATGATAGTGGCTCAGTGTGGGAGTACAGTGATAGTGACAAGTGGTTCAATTTTGATATATTTCAAACATAGAACCAAGAAGATTGACTGATGCGTTTGGGATGCAGCACAAAGAAATGAATTAGGAGTATGCCATCATTTTTGATCTGACCAAACAGAAGATTGGAGTTTCCATTTATTGAAGTAAAAATGACCATGAGAGAAATAGGTGGTGGCAATTAGGAGATTAATGTTGTACTTGTTAAATTTGGGATGTTCATGAGTCATTCATGTTGGTTGTCAAGTAAGCGTTTGATGTGTGAAGTCTAAAGTTGAGGGAAAATACCCTTGTTAGAAATAAAAATTTGAGAGCTCAGTGCACAGATGTTATTTGAAGTAAATATGGTGAAATCACCTAAAGAAATGAATATATATGGTTTGGAAGCCAAGAAAAGAGAGTATTTTAGTGAACAGAGCCGAACAACGCTGACAGGCTTTGAGATGAGCACCGGAACTGACAGTCCACTGTTGCCAGGTAGAAGTGACAGAGGCCTTGCTGAGTGGTGCCTCGGTAGGGAGGTGGATGCAAAGCCCTGCTGTGCATTCAGGGTTACACGAGGGAGAAGCACTGGGGCAGTGAGTATAGACAGCTCTTCTAGGAGTCTCCATACGGGGAGGAGTGAGATGGGGCAGTTACTAGAAGGGAGGGGAGTTCAAAAAGAGGCTGTTCCTCTTTTGTTAAATAACGGACAGGTGGTAGGTCTGAATGCTAGCGGTAGTGATCTGGTAGAGGGAGAGTTTGATGGCACAGGATGTGCTGTGGGACACATTGGGGATAGGAGTGTCTCTGAGTGAGCAAGACCGGTGGAACCTAGGTATGGATCTCCAGCTGCGGGCTGGTGTGGGTCTGTGGGAGCAGGGACAAGAGCAGGAGTAAGAAAAATTGAAGATAAATGGAAACTTGTGACTGTTTGACAGAATGAAATTGTATTTATTGGCTTTCATTTTTCTAGTAATTCGTTTTTCATTGAGGTAGAAGATTCACCTAACATAAAATAGTCATTAACCAGTTGAAAGGGTTCCGTTCATTGGCATTTGGAACAAAATGTTGTGTAACTATCAGCTTTATCAAGTTCCAAGTCCTTATTACTGTTGGAAGAGGAAACCCCATACCCGTTAAGCAGTCAGGCCCCATTCTCTTTTCCCTAAGTCCTTGGTAACCACCCATCTGTTTTCTGGGTTACTAGGTTTGCCTCTTTCTGATATTTCATGTAATTAGAATCATATAACATGTAGCCTTTTGCATCTGGCTTCTTTCTCTCAGCGTACTGTTTTCATGGTTCATCCACATCATGACATGGATCAGTACTTTATTTCTTCTTATGGCTGAATAGTGTTCCACAGCATGAATGTACCACATTTTGTTTATCTGTTCATCAGCTGATGGGCATTTGGGTTACTTTCATCTTTTGTCTATTGTGAATAGCATTGGTATGAAATTCATGTACCAAGTCTTTGATATTTTCAGTTCTTCCAGTTGTACACCTAGTAGTGTGTGTTAGTCAGCTTTTAGTCACTATAACAAAATACATGAGATAATTAATCTGTTCAGTCAGGTGGTTTATTGGGGAGTTTTAGAGATTTAGCCCATGATCAAGTGGCCCTCTTGTTTTGGACTTCTGGTGAGCTCGTGCATCATAGGTGCCATGGCAGTGATAGTACATTAGTTAGTTTTAGATGGTGTATTAGTTTA